AAAAAAAAAAAAAAAAAAAAAAACTATTACGCTTAACGGTCCGTTAAATGAGAGTTATAACGGCGTTAGGGTGGTATTAGACAGCGTTAGAGGAGAGAGGCAAATGTAATGAAAAGTTAAGGAAGAGGAGGACAATAGGATGATTTGATGAAGTAGAGGGAGGACTTTGAATGATTTATAAGTACAAGAAAAACAACAAACCAAAATTGAAAGTAGAGATGCTATAATTGGTTTTAACGAAAATAAAATAAAATTCATGTAATACAATGCGTTTTATATATTAAAAATATAATCTATTTTATAAATTTATTAAAACACCTTTTATACAATAATAGTATTTTAATAATTTAAACAATAAACTGCATTTATACAATCTCTGCTATAAAATATTTTTAAAAAAATATATAGCTCTCGAAGCAAAATATGCCTACCTTCAGCTGAATCTGCATTTTCCGCGATCGGCGTTTTCTCATGAGAACGCTGCTAACGCGGGACATCAATTGATGCTTCATTTCTCTTAATGAATGGTTGAGAACTTGGGATGTTTGCAGACCTTTAAATATAGTCTGGAGCATAGATGCATCCAACTGGGGTTAAAGTTAACTATCCGTCCCTCTACTTTATGAAAAAGTTCAATTTAACCCTTTCACTATTGAATCACCTCCGGTCATCTCTCCACTTCATTTTGAGCTGACATGTCCTCCCCTATTATTCAAAAAGTGATCATTTTCGTCCCTCCATCCATTCCATGGCTAACACCGTCACTGTCACTTTTAACCGTCAAAGCCTGACGGTTTGGCATTTAACATACTCCATTTTAATACCTTTCTACATGAATATTTTATTAACTTTTTTTTCTTCAATTATTAGTCATATTTATCTATCTCTCTTTATTAACTTTTTTAGTTGAGTGAATTAAAGGGATATTTTTCAAGACTATGATAGGTAATCAAGAAAATTTAATTTTTTTTCTAAAAAAAGAAATAGATAAAAATTTTGAATTTTATTAAAGTTCAAAAAAATTATAACTAGAAAAAGAGAAATTCCCAATACCTATTACTACCCCTTTAACTATAAGCTTTGGATGGTCTAAGGTGAGCTCACAATTTGCAACTCTAATCATGTACATAGGTAGGTTAAGTAAATACATTGGTAAAGTATTTGTTTATATTTGTATTTAATTTGAAAATTAATAGATATATAATTTTGATACTTAGTATTTACTCAAATATTAAAAATTTATTCTTATCATTCAACTTGCTAAATTTATGTATATCCATAGATGTACTTATATATTTGTTGAATATTATAACTTTTTAATACAAATTAAAATATATTTACACCTATTGCAAAACATATACTTTAATTCATACATAATATATAAACATGAATTTTTTTGAATGCAGTAATTCGATGTGAGAAGTGTGTCCTTAAAATAGCTCAAATAATGATAAGTTTTAAAATGCAAGAAAACTGATTTGGAAACACCTTAATTATAAATATCAAAAAAATAATACATGGACAAAAAAATTATATGAATTTATATTTATAATAAAGTACATAATTAAATTGGAATACAAATACAAAAGGTACTAATCAAGGATGTAGTGCTTTATTTTACATATGTCAACTTTTATTTATTTATTTTAGGAGACAAATATTTTTTAAATTTGTCTAAAAATAATAATCATTTTTTATAGTTTAAGAAAGAAAAGTATTTTTTTATAGTTTAACCTTATCATTATCTCTTAATTTTAATTGTTGAGCTTATTATAAAAAAATCTTTTTTATTTTGTTAAAATGTTTTTTTTTTTCTAATTTGTGTTTTTAAAAGTAATACATATACATTTTTATTATTAATTTGTACTTAAAAAATAAAAATTGACTTTTAATTTATCAATTATTCAATTAAATTCATTTATTTGGTATTAATACTAAAATTAATGTTACTTTTACATTTTTGTATATATATTTATGATGAAAATGTGCCGTTAGGACACAATTCAAAACATTATTTTTAAAGTAATATAGGTAAATTATCCTATATACAAAGATACGTGAAATCTCTTTTTTAAAGAAAAAATAAATTGAGGAGATAGATATTAATACAAAGTATGATGTGGCATTGATGGATCCTATATTATAGCCAAAGTGTAGAAAAGAATAATATAAAAGTATATATTAAACGCCAAACCGTTAGGCTTTAACGGTTAAAAGTGACGGTGTTAGCCAGGAAATGGATGGAGGGACAAAATTGATCACTTTTCAAATAGTAAAGGGAGGACATAGGAACTCAAAATGAAGTAGAGGGACGACCAAGAGTTAAATTTAACTTTTCCATAGAGTAGAGGGATGACAGTTGGCCTTAGTCCCATCCAACCGGTCGGTCGACCGATCGCAAGAGTACCGATTACCGAACGATCGCGCGATTCCCCAACACGCTGTCGCGCGATTTTTACTGTTCCTAACGAAAATTACAAAATTACCCCTTCCCTCTTCATTTTTCTTTCCAGTCGCTTCTCTCCTTGGTATCCATCCTCTTCTCCGGCACCGGCGCTATTTCTTTCTGATACCTCCGTTGTTCTCTTTGTTTCTTGCTCTCATGGCACGAGGACAGTGGCAGGAGGGAACCCAGATCTGGATTTGCTCGTCTTCACGAACCTAGATATGAGTTCAATCCCTACGTTTTCTCTCAAATACTGTTGTTACGAGAGCGGGGCGGATGAAGGTCGATGATTTTGCCGAATAAGAGAATAATGTGTTATAACCAGATCTGAGTTATTTTATTGAATTAAATCTGCTTTTCCTTTTCTAGCAATTATTGAATAAATTCAGATAGGCTTTTGAAATGGATGGGTCTGTTGGATCTTGATCGGGGAGATTGAGTCTAGCGTAGGAAAGGTAGAGAATGTCGGTTTCCACAGGCCGATCTCTGGTTTGCTTGTTTTTATCTGGCAAAAATTCAGATAAAAGTTGCCACCATCACAAAAAATATTACTGATTTTCTGCTTGTTTCTTGAGAAATTTAAATGATTTTCATTAAGTATCGCCATCGGGAAACTTCAGGACCGCTAGACGAAACATCGTCAGATGCCGCTTCATCCGCCACCTTTTTTAGAGACTTCGATGAAATCCATCTCTATCGCCGATTATCTGTTTCCCACCCAAAACAAAACTGAAAAGGAAAACTGAAGGCAAGTATAGAGATCGGAAATCAAAATTCGAAACCCATATATCAAATTCAAAAACTCACTTTCGAATTCAATTGGGTTATCTTCGGATGGGAAAACTGCATGATTTTTGATACCAACCACTGCATTGCAGATGAACCATTGGAATGGAAAAGAAAGGAAATTAAAGAGTTGTGAGCGGATATCAGACGTCTATTTGGTTTCGTTTCCTTTCTTTCGTTTCCAGTTTCCAAACTTTTTTACAACTTCATTCTCTCTTTTGCAATTCTAAATAAATCACCACCCATCACCCATCATCCATAATCCGTTATAAACCCACACGATCCAAAATCTGTAAATAAAATGGAAGAATGGGGTGCCTAATTTATAAAAATTAGAAATGGGAACCCTAAACGCAGCAACTTCGAGGGCGAAAGGGGAAGTAGAAGTGTAACGGGCCATCGATGGACTTTTATTAGAAGAAAATTTAAAAATTGATAGATAAGAAGAAAAAATTATGCGTGAGAATTAGATACAGATATATTTGTTATTTATAAATATTTTATTTATTTAAATAAATAATTTATTTAAATTGTAAAAGAAAAAAATAATTAATAAATATAAAAATAATATATTTATAAATATTAAGTTAATTAATAAATATGAGGGTTTAAAATTGTTTATTTTACTTATTTAACTAACTTATTTAATTTATTTGTTATTTATATTTATCTAATTAAAATTTTTATGTATTTATCATATTTAATATTTATATAATAATAATAATTTTTAAAAATAAAATAATAAATTACAAAAATAAAATAAAAATTAAATAAAACTTATAAATTAAATAAATTATACACACAACAATAACAATTTATATAAATAATAAACTTTAAGTTAACACATAACACATATAACAATAATATTTCATATTAATGTTTTTTTACTAAGTCAAGCACATAAATTTATATCTATAAGTTATTTGGTATTTGTTCAATTAATTATTAAATATACATCTTTAAATATTTAAATAGATATAAAATTTAAAAAATTATAATTAAAAATTTTTAAATTAAATAATAAATATAATTCATACACCATTTGTACCTAACAAAACTCACTAGTCACCGTAGAAGAAACAGAGCTTTGCCGTTCAGGACCTAGGTTTTGGAGGAAAGGATTTCGGCCTATTATTATTTGGGATTGGCTGTGCAGTAAGCCCAGCTAGTAAACTAATTACTAGTAGTTAGTATGATTCAGTTTCAGAGCCATGGCTCATGACTCATTCAGCATTAATTAAGTTATATACCAACAAAATTTTAATTATGGTAATATCATTAATTTAAAAATATTACGAAACACTTAAATAGTTTAATGATAAATTTTTTTGTTGAAAGTAAGACATTTTGAGTTCAAGTCGCATGGTATGCAGGTGAAATGAGATAAAAAAAGTAAGATGGTTACATTTTATTGTATAACCAACATAAAAAATATATATATTGATTTAGAATCAAAATTAAAAATTTGAAGTTTTGTGTTAGTAAATAATTAACTGTATCATAAAAAAAATTAAATTATGTGAATTTTATAAATGATGCATTATATATATCTTTCTTAACCACGCGCATGATGCATGCAGCTGATCTCTGCATTTTTGTTGAATAGTGTTATAACCACCTCAAAAGTTAACTCTAATTAGATATGACAAAAATTCACTCGGCCATCAACTCAACCTTAACCTAATTTGTAAAAACGAGATAGGGTTTATATATCTCAACCCGTAATCTATAGATAATTCGTACGGATCATAGATTGGGTTAGGATCAACCGACGAGTTGATGAGTTGACCCATTTATTTTATTTATTATTATTATTTTTAAATATTATACTTATTATTCTTAATTAATTTTTTTATTGGTAACTCATTCCATTAATTCATACTTCCTGATTTATAGAGAAAGATAAAGAAATTATGATGAATTTGATTTAATTATCCAAGTATCATTTTTTTTTTTTGTATTAACAATTACCCAAATATTATGAATGAAATGATAATACAACTAAAAATATTAAAAGATGTGATACTAGGACATAAACATAATAACTTAATGAAAGATGTTCTTGGAAGAGCAATTTCATTATTAAAAAAATGGCTTAAACTACTTGATTATGTTTCAAGATGATTATAAAATTAAAACATTATTTTTCAAGAAATTTAAATATTTTACGTTTAATATTGTTATTGTTAATCAACTTATTATTATTTATAACTTTATGATTTTTTTAATTTAATTGTTTGTGATTAAAACTATAAAAGACTTAGTTTTAATGAATCACAATACTTTAATTAGATTTAGATATATATAATTTTATTTGTATATAATAAAATTAATAAAAAATAATTTTAAAAAATAAAAATAAGGTCAACCCACCAGTTAACCCGTAACTCGTTAAGGTCGGGTTAGGGGTAGACTTTTTCAACTCTCAACCCATTCATAACTCAGCCCGTATAACCTATCACCCGAGTTGACCCAACCCGAACTTGACTCAACTCGCCATTTGCCAAGTCTAACTCTAATGCACAATTTGCCTTTTTGCCTAATGTAAAGAACTATCAATGAATTTCGTGTTTTTATTCTTTTTATTAGAACCATTTGTTTTTTATGAGAAACGAATTTCATGTCTAGTTTGAATTTTGAAAAAGAATTATTAACAATCTAAAAGCACGCATGCGCGTTAGGTTTGCCTCGTACTCATTTAAACCTAACAAGACTCTTTGAAAATAATGGAAAAAATGTTAGGTGTGCACTAATTTGGGCTTAGAAAGACTGTTTTAAATTTATTTTTGTGTCGATTGTAGAATATGAATTATGAAATATTGGGGTAGAGAGTTGATGAGTTAGCAGCAATGATGATATGAAAGCTGATTAGGATGATCCCTATGGGAGATGAGGAGAGTCCTTTTTGGTTTACACCCATTTCACATGCAAAAGGTTATGTGTCATGGGCCATCTTCCTTCATTCAGTGAAGATGACCTGCAAAAGATTTTTCAACAAAGTTGATAATACAACTCCCTCAGCTAAGTTAGAAGAGTGGAGCAGAGTCTCCCTTTCACTTCTTCTCTAGAAGGAATGAATTACAAGCTTTCTCCAGCAAAGTCTAGAAATGGAGCTACCCTAGTCAAGCAAAAAAAGTGAGGCAATGATGATGCTCCATCTAGTAAGCATGAATTGTGAGCTCTCTCTAGCAAAGTTTGGAAATGGAGCTTCTTCAACAAAGTCTGAAAATAAAGCTTCCCCTACCAAGCCAAAAAGAGTGGGGTGATGACAGTGCTCCCAAGATAACAATTACATGGCCACCAAAATAAATGAATGGGTGTTGAGCAACCTGATGCCAATAGTGAAGTTTAAGTGTGAACTTTCTCCAGCCAAGCAAGAAGAACTAGATGAAGGCCATGCTTCCAAATGACGATTACGCAACCATAAAAAAAAAAAAAAAAAAAAAAGAAGAAGAAGAAGAAACAAATGGGTGTGTGAGATTGTAGCTAAAATAGCCTAGATAGAAAATGCAAATATTAACTTGTGTAATAAAGTGGTAATATCTAATGCAATATATTGTAGAATGGAAGAAATAAATAGTAGATGTGCTCTCTACTATCTTCGAAAAATGTATGAAACTCTAAAATAAATAACCTTTAACTTGAAGTTTTAAGTATAATGATTTCTCTCCAAATTTATGAGTATAAGAAGAAATAAACTAGAAAATAGTGATGAGAGAAGAAAGGATGACCATTGTGGGGGCTTTTGAATGCAAGACTTGATCCTTTTTTTTATGCTAACTCTATAGCTTGATTCTCTGATGCTCAAGAAAATAACCTAAAATCTGAACTATAACATGTTGTCTCCTACCCATGATGTTCTACAAATTTGGAAAGGATTCTGTAGTGTTGGGAGTGTAAAAAATATGACAAAATGGTGATTTTTGGGTGATTTTAGTGTATAAGGCAAGAGATTGAAGATGAAGAGTTTTTCATAGGAAAATGGAGGTCTAGTGTGTGAAAGGGAAGCTAGGTTTGTGAAATTTCTAAAATATATTGAAAAATGAAGGAAAAATCAATATTTATATATACAATGGCATTTTGGTAATTTTGGGTTGATGGGTCAAAGTTGCCCAATAATCTAATGAGTTGATCTGGGTTAGGTGAGGATAACTATCGAGTTTTGAAATTACCTAGTGGTTCCAATGTAGGACCATTGGTTCAAGCGAAGAACTGCAAGTTTGCTGGAGATTGCCTATTTCTGATAATTCTCTAGCCATACAAAATACCATTTTTAGAGGGGTACTTGAGTGTAGTCAGCAAAATCAATTCTGTCCAAGATTTTGGTAGATTTATCAAGCAAAATGTAATATTTTTCAACAATTTTTGATGCAATGGAACTTATGTTGCCACCCTTTTCAAGAATGAAACTTGTGCAACCACCCTTGCATTAAATGTAGTTGCAACTTGCTAATGGAGACTCAAACAGCATCTTTGGTTGGGTTTTAATGAGATTCCAGTTCTTCTAGTTAGCACAAAACAGTACAGTTTTGGGATCAAGCTTTGCCTTCACGTCTTTGCCACCCAACCTTTCATAGTGAAGTCAGGCAACATCGCCAACTCCAAGCTTGGTTGGCATGAATACCTCGCTTCGCCAGACAAGCAACACTCATCCATCCATGCCTACTAAGCCACTACTCCCATAGTTTACCTCGAATAATCCTCATAAGCTTGGATTCATGGGTTTATTGATGACATGCATGTAAAGATAGTGATCAGTTGATGAAAATGATGAAATTTAATAAATAATGAAATAATAAAGAAATGAGACTTCCTTATGTATGTCTAGTGATGCAACCATATACTGTAACATTAAATACTGCTGAGCCTAGCCATGTATTACAACATTAGATATTGCTGGACCTTTTGGTAAATGCACGTTGAAGGCATTAATGGGTGCTTAGATCAGGGTAGGTCTTGGTGACATGGAAATTACCCAAATCCAAGTTTGACCTTTTACAAAAACATACATCAACATGAGATAAAAAAATATCACATAATATTAAGAGACTCATATTTTATTTAATAATTTATATAATGTAATGTAATTTAAATTGTTAATATTTTTTTTTATACTGATTACTCGTATATGAAATTTATATTGAATCTCAACTAATTCAAAATCAAGTCACGTTAAATCCTATAAAAAAGAAAATTCTCTTAACATCTTATTCTCTATTTATAATATTTGTTTTAAAGTAATGAAACTTATTTATTAAAAGAAAAGTTTACCAACTTGTTTTATTAAAGGAAAAGTGTAATGAGACAAGAAACTAATAGAGAACAAGTGGAGGTGGCAAAATTACACCTAACTTCAACCTATAAAAAGTAGACTAGGATTAAGTAGTGTTGGATCTATGAATTGTTTGGGTAAACCCCAACAGGTCATGGATCAAACATAGGTTAACTTGTGGATTTATAGATTGAATCATATGACCTATATGTTTTTAAAATTTTTAAAAATAATTTTATAAAATAATTTTTTAAGGCAAAATAACTACCAAATATAATTTAAAAGAAATTTAATATTTTGATGACCATTACAATTTATAAAACGTCTCCAAAGGAGCTGATTATATTTATTTAAAATTTATAAATCAATTATTATATATTATATACAATTATCTGTAAAGAAAAGAAAAAATTAAATAAATCATTCAAAATATATTCCATAAAAAATAAGGTATTTTGTTGAAACTAATCAAATAGAGAGAAGCAAAATAATTAGAAAATAAACAAATATTATGTTCAATTGTTAAATTCTCTATACAAATTATTGGTGTGCAATTTATATTTGCCTTCTATTTATTTAGATGGCAAGTTTTGGAAAGGCAAGGCTCCAACTTAGTTGTGGTTTGAATAGTTTGGGTGAACAAAAATAAAAATATTTTCAAAAATAATAAGTGGGATGAGAACAAAATATTCAAAATAATTCAAATAAGATATTTTGTTTGATTAAAAGATAAGCTTTAAGATGCATCATTTTCTTTTTGTAATTGATATTAATTCTCAATTTTGTTATTTTTGTTAAAAAATAACTTATGTTAGATTTTTTAATATTAATTACAGACATATATAGGTATTACAAGATCAATAGACTCTAACAATAAATTTTTTAATAAAATAAAGGTAAATATAATACTTAAGATTTGAAAATACTTAGCTTATGTTTTTTAATTTATATTTACTATAATTTAATTTTAATAAATTAATATAAAAACCATTACAAATTATATAAAGAAACAAAAAAATGTTTAATTAATGGATCAACCGATGATATGTTAACATCGGATTAGAATCAATATTTATTGACCCACAATCTATATATAACCTAATCCAAAACCAACCCTACTCGCCAGTTTGCCGCCTCTAGAACAAGAACGGATAAAAATTTAAGGAAGAAACAAAGGAACGAAGAAAAGAAACGTACAAAAAGGGACGACAAACAAAAGAAAGAGGAAATAGAGGAAAGAAACAGAAGAAAGAAAGGGAGAAACTGAAAGAAAGTGGCTGGTGGGGTGGGAGGAGAAACATAGGAAACGGGAAAACAGCAAGATTTGCTGGGAAAAGGAAGAGAAAAAAACAGCAGAGAACAGGAAATCCGGACGATGGAGCACTACGGCTGGAGAGCTCCAGAAGCAACTAGAGTGCTTCAGAGCACTGAAAATGATATATTAATTACGAGTTAAAAGGCAATAAAGATTTTATTTCCTACCACTATTGTGTTCGTCGTTGCTATTATTTTTTTTAAAGAAAATATCTCACGTATGTACCTTACTACTAGTAGACTGGAGATTCTCGAGCACCTTAGCTACTTGCCTAGCCAGGTGCCACTTGTCGGCCATTCTCTTCCCTTCTCGGTTTCTTCCCCTACTTCCCCTTCCCCTACTTCCCCTTCTCTCCTCTTCGTTTCATATATCTAAAAATTTTCCCCTTTTTTTTTTTTAAATCCTCTAATTTTTCCCACTCTCCTCTCTCATAAATACCCCTCTTGTAATTTCTTCCTCTAGTTTTTTGGTTGGTTTTTTCCTTTTACTCTTAGAAATAGTGTAGACGGAGCATTATTTTCCTCCCTGGAACTTCTCTTGCCTTTTGAGTGTCTGCTTTCCAAATCTATGGTGAGACATGAGAAAGAGGAAGATAAAGGAAAAAAAAAAAAAAAGAAGAAAAAGAAAGAGAAAGAGAAAACCATAATTCTTTGTTCTAACATGCCTCAAACCTCAAAGATGTAACAAAGTATTGGATCCATGCATAAATCATGGAAGAAGTTTACATCCATTTGGAGTTGAAGAGAACTATGTGAAATGTTTATCTAACATCCGCTCTGCTCTTTTTTTTTTTATATATTCATTTTTTATGCTTAATTTTGTTTGGATATAAGTTTCAGTGTACGTGATAGGAATCCTTTTGCTGTAGTTTTAATCTATTAGTTTACTTCTGTTGGGATTAGGCCCAACACTCATTTCGAGCCACATGCTACAGGCTTAATCACACATCCACTGGCCCAAAGTGATGAAACATGCCCACGTAGGCAGTAAACGGTGGGCCAATGAGAAGTTTACATGTGCAGATGCATGTCAATATTTGGGGCTATAAATACCCCCAACTACCTCCGAAGAAGGTAATTAATCTCCACGCTTCTCTCTCTGCAATTACTCCTTGAGAGTATCTCTCTCTAGAATATTGAGTATTGCTGACTTGAGCGTCGGAGTGTTTTCCCCGAGGAAACATCCTCGAGATTTTCAGGTGTAGAAGCAGCTGAGGACTTCAACAGTGTTGGACTACGAAACTGCCCAAACATTTGGCGCCGTCTGTGGGAACTGGACAAGAACTTGTGTAGCTTAACCTGCTAAAAGATAAAATGATTCGTACTTTTACAAGAAGTCGCCCCCCTAGAAACGAAATGGACGAACAGGAGGATACTCAACTGTCTGAGCCTGGTTTGAATGATTTTAAGCCAATGCAAAGAAACCTTTTTGTGGGAGGAGCATAACAGAATCAATCAAGTGAAACAGATGATGATGAAAGAACACCAACTGGGTATGCAACCCAGCCTGAACAATTTCAAATTCCAATCGGAACAAGGCATAGACATCCCAGACAAGGTGATGCGCAGCGTGAGCGACCTGAAAGGTCAGCAGAGCCCGCTCGGACTACCGAGCTTGAAGAGAGAACCAGAGTTCTCGAAATGGCAATGGGTAAAATCCTTGCCCGCCTGATTCCTGATGACCCCCTGATTCCTTTGCTGAATAGGGATGCACAGCCGACTACGGTGGTTGCAACCCGTAACTCCCCGGCCTTGAGTAATGTGGTCGTCCCAACTAGACCGAGAGGGAGTGGGAGGTTAAACCCAGAACCCAGCTCGTCCAAACATAATGAAGAACTACTAAAGAAAAATGCCGACCTAGAAAGACAGCTCAAAGATGTACAGAAATCTATTGACGAGCTGAAAAGTCCCAGGTCACACCAACAGACCCTTGATTTGGATAGTGCTCCTCTAAACCTATCCATCATAGCAGAACCATATCAAGAGGAATTCAAAATTCCCCACCTAGAGACATATGATGGCTCGGGTGACCCAGATGAGCATCTGCACACCTATCAAGCCATCATGAGAATCCAAAATGCCAATGATGCCATGATGTGCAAAGTGTTCCCAACGAAACTGAAGTCAACAGCCAGAAGATGGTATCACAAACTCCCCAGACATTCTATAGACTCATACTCCCAGCTCGCCAAGCTATTTTCCAACAAATTCGCGAGCCAAAGGGAAATCAAATGCACTGTGACCGAGCTGATGCAAGTTCATCAGAAAGAAGGGGAATCTCTAAGGGATTACATGCAGCGATTCAACAAAGCCACTCTAGACATTGACAACGTTCCCGATACCATCTGCTTGTCTGCCCTGCTGCATGGTTTGAAGCGTGGTCGGTTCCTAGACGACCTGCTAGAAAACCCACCGAAGACGTGGAACAAAGTGAATCACAGGTCGGCTAGCTTCATACTGTCTGAAGACTTCCAATCGTCCAAGCGACGAGCTGACGATAAGCAGAACAAAGGCCAGGAACAACCACCGAGGAGAGAAGAAAAGAAAAAGCAAAAGGTCAACGAGCAGTGGGAGAAGCCCGCTGACTTCCCAAAGTATGCCAATTACATTCCTTTGACCTTGCCAAGGTCTCAAATCCTGGCCCAAATTCAACACTGGATAAGAAGACCCCTACCCCCATTGCACGATTCCCCGAGAGCAGACAAGAGCAAGCATTGTGACTACCATCGTGTATACGGTCACAATACAGAAGATTGCCAACACTTAAAGGACGAGCTGGAGTTCTTAGCTCGCAATGGGAAATTAGAGGGATATGTCCAGAAGCCTCATACCCAGCAACCAGTTCAAACTCACTTTGTGCAGGGGTACGATCGACCTCAGGGGCAAAGGTATCAGCTCGGCAACACACAAGACATTTATCATGATAATCAATATCCTTCTAAGCAAGGCAGAGCGAACAGGGGCCGCCAGTTCAATAGGCGAGGCCAAGGGCAGAGGACTGCCACCCAAAACCAGAAAGACAGGAAAGGGGTAGGCTATGCGGGGATACCCCCGCCCTCTGGTACAATAAATATGATATCAGGTGGTATTCACTCCGGAGGCCAAAGCGCCCGAGGTCGCAAAGCATATGCACGCCAGGTGATGACCGTTAATAAAAACAGGCCTTTGAAACGCCCATTTGAAGAAGCAGAATGGGAAAATGCATCCATCATATTCAGCCCGACAGATTATAAGCGAGCAGACAGAGAGCCTGACGTTATGATGCCACATGCAGATCCTTTCGTGGCAACGGTTCATATAGGCAACCATAACGTCAACAAGGTCTTCATCGACACTGGCAGTTCACCGGACATCTTGTACTGGAGTTGCTTTCAGAAAATGCAACTGAATCCGAGCTCGCTGCAGAAGCACGAAGGGCCTATATATGGGTTTGACAATCAGCCCGTCCGGTTGAAGGAGGTATTACCCTTCCCATCTATGTGGGCTCGGAACCACGGTTCAGGATGGCTTCTGTTACCTTCCTGGTCATCAAGATGGAGTCAGCTTTCAACGCTATACTGGGAAGAGCCACTCTTTGCGAGCTGAAGGCTGTCATCTCGCAACCCCATCTCTGCATGAAATTTCCAACTCCTCAGGGGGTGGGAGTGCTTAAAGAGAATCAGAAGATGGCCAGAGCATGCTACCAAGATACTTTCAAAAAGGTTGAGCTCGCTGCTGCCCCTGTAAGTTCTGAAAATCACAGGCCAGCCCAACTCGGTCAGCAGACAATGAGCATATCAGATATCAAACATCGACCTGAGGGTGTCGAGCAGAAGGCTGAGCCGGTAGAACCGGTGGAAACGGTCCCTTTAAACCCCGATGTGCCAGAGAGGACGGTTAAGATTAGCACTAAGCGCACAGAAGAAGAGCGGGCATAGCTTCTGGAGTTTTTGAGGGTTAATCAGGACGTGTTTGCGTGGACTACGGATGAAATGATGGCATCCCAACGGAGTTGACAGTCCACAAGCTAAGCACAGACCCCACCAGAAAGCCGGTGGTTTAGAAATGTCGCCTTTTTGGCCCTGAGAAGCAAGCCGCTATAGACGAAGAGATACAAAAGCTACTATAGGCAGGCTTCATCAGGAGAGTGGAGTACTCTGAGTGGGTATCTAATCCCGTGCTCGTCAAAAAGCCAAATGGCAAGTGGAGGATGTGTATTGACTTCACCAACCTCAATGAGGCGTGTCCAAAAGACCCTCATCCCTTGCCAAATGTTGAGAAGCTAGTAGAGCGGGGAACCGGACATGAACGGATGAGTTTCCTTGACACCATCTCAGGTTACCATCAGGTTCAGTTGCTGTTGGACGACTAGGAGAAAACAGCTTTCTACACCGGTGACGCAATCTATTGCTATGTGATGATGTCGTTTGGCCTGAAAAATGCTGGCGCTACATATCAGAAGCTGGTGCAAATCATCTTTAAGCTCCAGATCTGCAAAAACATAGAAGTGTATGTGGATGACATGACAGTCACCAGCGTGCGAGCTGAGGATCATATAGACAACCTGAGTGAGACCTTTCAAAATTTGCGCCAAGCCCAAATGAAGCTGAATCCCCTGAAATGCACATTTGCTGTAGAGTCAGGAAAATTCCTGAGGTACGTGGTATCCAAGAAAGGAATTGAAGTAAATCCAGAGAAGGTTCAAGCCGTTCAGCAGATGGAGCCGCCCAAGACTGTCAAAGATGTGCAGCGTTTAACGGTTCGTGTTGCTGCGCTGCATAGGTTCATAGCCAGGTCGGCAGAAAGATGCCTCCCGTTTTTTAAGGCCTTGCGAGAGCCTAAGAATTTTCAATGGACTGATAAGTGTCAGCGGGCATTTGACAAGCTCAAACAATATCTGGCATCAGCACCCCTACTGTCCAAGCCTGTCGAAAGGGAGAGTTTATATCTGTACCTAAGGGTTATAGAAGAGGCGGTGAGTTCGGTCCTACTCAGGGAAGAGAATAAGAATCAGAAGCCCATCTACTATGTGAGCAAGGTTTTACAAGGCGCAGAGCAGAACTACCCACTAGCAGAAAAGGCTGTTTTTGCCCTGGTATACACGGCTCGAAAATTGAGAGCTTACTTTCAGTCAAATCAGATTATTGTTTATATTAATCTGCCGTTGAGAAAGATACTGCAAAAGCCAGAGCTCTCTGGTCGGCTTATAGGGTGGAGTGTCGAGCTGAGCGAGTATGACCTCAAATTTCAGCCACGCACAACCATAAAGGGCCAGGCAGTGGCAGACTTCCTGGTGGAGTGTATCTTGGCAACTGTGGAAGAAAAGGCACCCGAACACCCAGTCTGGGTCTTGTATGTTGATGGAGCTGCTAACATTGATGGATCAGGTGCTGGGGCTGTGCTGGTGGGCCCAGATAGCTTTAAATCTGAGCATGCATTAAGATTCAAATTTTAGACTACTAATAATGCTGCGGAATATGAAGCCATCATTTATGGGTTGAATTTGGCGTCCGAGCTGAAGGTACAAAGCATTCATGTTTTTAGTGACTCTCAGCTTGTGGTGAGCCAAATGAATGGCAGCTGTGAAATCAGGAATCCTCAACTGGGCCGTTATGCTTCTGTGGTCAACAAATTGAAGTCAGGATTTGTCTCTTTTCAAATCGACAAAATACCAAGAGCAGATAACTACTGAGCTGACGAGCTGTCAAAGTTGGCCTCCTCGCAGGACCTTAACCCTCAGAGGTCAACGATTGTTGAAGTGCTTGACGCCCCGAGCTACACTAACTTCACAGTCGAGTGTCAGCTGTTAAGTACAGATCCCTCTTCACCAAGCTGGACTACCCCGCTCATTAATTATTTGCAAAGTGGCGAGCTGCCTGAGGATTCATCCGTTGCAAAGTTGGTTAGACGCAGGGCGGCACATTTCACTTTGGTAGATAATCAACTCTACAAACGAGCAGCCTCAATGCCCCTATTACGTTGCCTTACTCCTTATGAAGTTGAATACGCCGTGAGGGAAGTCCATGAAGGAGTATGTGGCACACACATAGGTGGCAAGACTTTAGCTCGGAAACTTTTGAGGCATGGGTATTACTGGCCTACTATGGTTGAGGACGCACAAATCTATGTCAAAAAGTGCCCGACCTGCCAGTTCAATGCTGATGATATTCACATGCCAGGTAACTGAGCTCGCCCTAAAGTCCGTTCAAACTTCATGATTGTCTATTAACTGAGCATAAGAATCTTCGTTGAAACAGGAGAAATGCTCTCATCACTCTCATCTCCCTGGCCTTTTGCTCAATGGGGAGTCGACCTGCTCGGCCCTTTTATGAAAGGCAAAGGAGGTTGCACTTACCTCGTTGTCGTGGTGGACTACTTCACCAAGTGGATAGAAGCTAAACCGTTGTCCATGACAACAGAAAAGAAAATAGAAGAATTCTTGTTCAATTCAATATTGTGCAGGTATTCTTCGATGACTTAAGTCATTGGTACATTATATGCAAATATAATCTTGTGGCTCAGCTCGGTCATCTGTGTACAGGTTCGGTATTCCTAAGCGGATCATCACGGACAACGGTCAACAGTTACGAGCCACGGCACTGAGGTCGTTTTGTAACGACTACGGCATTGAGCTCTCCTTGACGTTTGTGTATACTCCATAGTCAAACGGACAGGCTGAGTCCGCTAATAAAATTGTTTTGCGAGGCCTCAAGACGCGTGTTTTAGCTACGCATTCTAATTGGGTTGACGAGCTCAATAAAGTGCTTTGGTCATGCCGCACTACGCCCAACTCGACAACAAGCAAAACCCCGTTTAGCCTGGCGTATGGAGCTGAGGCTGTCATCCCTGTTGAGGTCGGATTGCCATCTGATAGATCAGGTCATCTGACAGATCAGGTCGCCATGACAATCTTAATAATGAGCAACTTTTAAGAGAGAACCTAGACTTGGTGGAGGAAGTCAGGGGGATGTCGCGAATAAGAAACATGGCGTATCAGAATCATGTTGCAAAATTTTATAATAAAAGAGTTCGAGCTCGTCAGTTTCAAGTCGGCGATCTGGTTCTACGCAAAGCGGGATTAACCAATGCTCATTCGCATATGGGCAAGCTCGCTTCTAATTGGGAAGGTCCTTATATGGTTATTTGTATTAAGCGACCTGGGTGTTACCAATTAGCAGATTTACAAGGTCGTCCGTTACCATTCATTTGGAACATACACAACCTTAGAAAGTTTTACAATTAGCATTTCAATATTGTTATCTTAGTTCAAGTTACTCACAATCAAATGTAAAAGGCAATGTAAAGAACAATACACAGCGATTTCAAAAGAAAACGTTGGAGTTGTATTTCATGAATGTTCTTTTACATGTGGTTGATTAACATAAAAATACAAAAAGCAAAGCAAAAAGTCCTAAGCTAATCATCCGTCAGGTCGACGGGGATGGATGCATCGTTAGGTGCAGCAGCAGATCGAGCTGGAGATGACCGATCTGGAGGAGAGAAAGCAGGAGCAGCAGCTGGTGCGAGCTGAGGCAGAGCAGAGGGAGGAGTGCTGGAAGGCTTAGCAGGCACATCATGCGGGTCTGCCACCCAAGCATCAAAGCTTGGCAACCCCTCTGTGTCCTCCCCCTCTTCAATGACAGAGGGGGGCCACACGGGCAACCTCTCCTCATTAAGTTCCCATTTCAGCCTCACCCTGGTGTTAGCTGGAAGGGCGAGGCTCTTCCCTTCATTATCGATCTCCTCACCCTCGAAGAAGGCCAGCTCGCCAATGGAGAAGTCAGCCCGGACCCTTAGCACCCGTCCACGAACTTCATTGAAAATGTCCGTGGTGGTGTTGGCTGAAGCCACTGCTACGACGTCTTGGAACATTTATGCTCCCACGCGCCACTCCGCCCCTTGTGCGCGGGCAAAGCAGACGTCGCGCTGGTGGAGTCTTTTGGTCCTCTCCAAGGACGCCTCAGCTTGGGCGACATGCTAATCAACTTGTGAGACCCTCTCTCTCAGGGCACTTAGCTCGTGCAGAGTCTGTTCCCTCTCAGCTTCTACCTTTTTGGCCCGGTCCTCTGCACGGCCGGCCTCCTCCTTCGCAGCTTGAATGCCGCTTTCCTTTTCTGCCCGAGCTCTGTCAAGCTCCTCCCTCAGCTCGCTGACCTTGCGAGCCAACTCATCAGCTGGGCTTTCGGCTGACGCTGCTCGGTTCGCCATCTCCGAGCTTTGCAAACAACTGACCTCGTCAGCCAAACTGGCTTTTTTAGAGGCCAGTTGTTTGCAGCTTTGTTAGAGCTTGTTGTTTTGCACTCGGGCTCCCTGCTCGCACTCAAAGAGCGCGATAGTGTAGCTGAACGCCTGCAATACATACCCTATCGTCAGCTTATAACATAATGTGATAAAATACAACTTTGAGCTCGATAAGTACACTTACATCCATAAGCTTGATTAGAGCAGCATGTCCCCCATGCTGCTGAACGTGCCCCTTGGCACGTTGCCGGTCTGCAGGGGGCACGAAATTCTGCATACCCTGCAGCATGGCAGCATGGCAATCAGTTCTTACATAATTGAAGCCATCTGGGTACGCAATTCGTGGCCCCGCTACAAACGACGAGGCAGGCGTTGGCTGGGTGACCTCACAAGCTGGCGTTGGAGGCACGTTCGCAGGTCGCGCAGTAGCGGCTGGAGCGGGCTGGTTCCCCGTACTCGTCCTCTGCCGGATGAGGGGGACGTCATCCTCTGCGTCTGAGTCCTCTCGCAAGCGCCTTTTTGAGCTTGAGGGCGCAGGCTCTACTCGTTGCTCGACACGCGGCCTCTGTGCCGAGCTGGAACTTCGATGTTGTCAGCTGCGCCCAGGTGCAGCAAGCGGCCGCTCGTCAAAACAGGATTGACGCTGGGAACCAGACTCAGCCCCCCGGTTCCTCGAGCCTTGTGCGCGCTGGCGCTGCCTCTCTAAAATGCTGCTCATTTCTCCTGCACAAAACAAAGCATAAGATTCAAGTCGGCTAGAAATCCTGTTATGTTATAGAAATATACCTTCCCCGTGAAGGTTTGCCACGTCGACAAACCCCAGAAGTGCGATCTGATCTGGGGTAACCAAGGCTTCCAGATCCACTAAACCCCCCGCTTCACATGGTCGAGCAGCCGATTCTTCAGGTCAACATCACCACTTGTCAGCTGTGGGTAGTTCATATACGTGTTAGGTGTACGCCATTCTGACAAACAGGCGGCAAGCTCGTTATTGATCCTCTCAGTTCATGTATCGCGAATGAAAACGAATTGCCTCTTCCATCTCGCCACCTTATTTCTGATGTTAGTGAATATCATCATCTTCTCTCTCCCAGAGATGTAATACCATCTCGTACCGCTGGTGGAGGGACACAGACGGCACAGGAAGAGCGACCTGAAGACCGTTGCCTTTGCGGGCATCCCTAGCCTCTCACACAACAGCATAAAGCCTATGATAAACTTTATGCTGTTGGGAGTGAGCTAGGTAAGGGCCAGCTCGTACTCTGCCAGGACGTCAAAAATTAGTCCGGGCAGAGGAAAACGTAGACCGGCGTCAAAATGGTCTACGTATACCAGCACCCAGCCCGTCCGTGGTGCGGAGCACGCTCGTTCGTTTGGTGTTCCAACTCGGATCAAAATTGTCATCGGAATCTGGAATCGCCTCACCATCTCCTCTAGCTTTTTATACCCCTTCACTGTGGCCGCACCATCTGCAACCTCGTGATGCAGCACCGCCCTAAACCTGAAGCCTGGCCGGGAGGGTTTTTGGGGCCTTGCAAAGGTTGTCCAGCCTCCCACTGAGAACCTTGCTCTCCCACCCCTCGAACACCACTACCTCTGCTGCGGCACTCATCACTGGTGCACTGCACCCGACCTCTTCAGCACCACCACTGGGTGTCTCTTCCGTGGGTGAATCACTGGAGGTTGAAGGCCGGTGGTCCCCAGAACTACCACCCGTGCTCGAACTAGCGCTACTCTCCGACGTGGCGGTTCTGGGCGAGTCTTGTAACTCCGGCGACACTATCATGGCAATGGGCTCCACGGATATCACATCAACATCTTCGTCTTCACCTTGGTTACCCCGGAACTCTCGTGCATTGTGAGAAGAAGCCATTTTTACCTAAGTAGTGAAGTCGAATGTCCTTTCGCTAGAAGTTTTAGAAAACAGCTTGGAGCGTCTCTACAACCTTCTCTGAAAAATGTACGAACGCGTTGTGCAATGGAACAGAGAATAACAAAGTGTTTGTTTTTCTTTTGATCTTTCAGATACTGCTCCATAAACACTGTATACGTGTTTACGGCCCCCCCAGTTAACCCTGCCCACATGGCAGGCATTTATGGTTAAGCGTCTAAATTCAGCCGTCTGCAGCTGTCACGTCCCCTCAAATGCTAAGCCAGCATTTATTGCGGGAAAGCAGAGGGACATTTGCCGTTGGCAAAAGAATACCAAACGCCCTGAGCAAATCTCCTCAGAGATTTGCCATGATTCAAATTTTGAAAAATCCCCAAGGATCGGCTCGTAACAAATCTCAAGGATCAGCTCGTTATGAATGCATGATCTCCTTAGAGATACGTCACAGCTCAAATCTCAAGGATCAGCTCGTAACAAATCCGGGATCTCCTCAAAGATCTGCCATATTTCAAATTTTGAAAATCTCGAGAAATCAGCTCGTTTATGATCCGAGATCTCTTCAGAGATTCCCAACTCGAGAAGCCTTTAGAGGTCAGGTCGTAACAAATCTCAGGTTCGCCTCGGTTTTAAACATCGAACGTTAAATTGTAACCAACTTCCTCGGATTTGCTCTGCATCCCAGACATCTATATTGAAGTAGCGAGGGAGATCGCTCATGTCGGCCCATCTGGGTTGGTTGGTTCAGCTCATTCACTCTCTGCTCACCTCCGCTCTGCTGTAGAGAATTCATTATGCAAGGTCGCCCTTTGCGCGCCTGCTCGGCTAGCTGACTAGCACCGAGCTCGACTGGTTTAACACCAGCTCCTCACGCCTGCTCTGCAAAAAAGCCGGCATACACTTGCACATCCGGCCAGGTGCGATGTATTCAAGCTGCTCAGGTCGGCCATGTTTGAGGTCGGTCGCGGCGCATGAAACGTTACCCCGTATCTCCACCAATCAAACCCAGTTCGTCAATTGAACGCCAAGGGGGGAGTAATGTTGGGATTATGCCCAACACCCATTTGGGGCCACATGCTACAGGCCCAATCACACATCCACTGGCCCAAAGTGATGAGACATGCCCACGTGGGCAGTAAAACGTGGGCCAATGAGAAGCTTACATATGCAGATGCATGTCAATATTTGGGGCTATAAATACCCCCAATTACCTCCGAAGAAGGTAATTAATCTCCACGCTTCTCTCTCTGCAATTACTCCTTGAGAGTATCTCTCTCTATAATATTGAGTATTGCTGACTTGAGCGTCGGAGTGTTTTCCCCGAGGAAACATCCTCGGGATTTTCAAGTGTAGAAGCAGTTGAGGATTTCAACAGTGTTGGACTACAAAGCTGCCCAAACAACTTCAAAACCACAATTGCTATTATTATCAGTTACACGCCATAATCATCACAATCACGTAACTTACAAGCATAAAACATCATTACAATCCACAAGAGTTTGGCATGAACAAAAAACCACTCCTAGCGAGAACGAGGCTCTTTTTAACGACGGAAATTTCGAAGGCAACGGTAAAATTTGAAAAACATAGCAAACTTTGCAAGTCCGCTGTTTCAAAAACTTTCTACTGCATCCTCCGCACAAAGCAACCTTGCAAGTCCTCCGTATTGAAAACGGTCGTCAACCTCGATCTGCCCTTTCATTCATTACTTGCTGGTGCCCTCATTAACATATTATCCCTCACAACCATTTCCCTGCAAAGAACGGAAAGGAGAAAATCAGTATATTAAATTAACCAAAACCTATATTGTTTTTCTCTTTTTCATAAAAGCAAAACTCAACACGAAAGCAATCTTTTTTTTCTTTCTAGTTTAATCGTGAAGAAAATATTTTCAAATGAATCATACATGCGAAAGAGATGAAACCATACCGGAGTAACCTAGTGAGTTCGGTTGCCTTCGCAAAGTCGCCTTCTTCGCGTGCCTTAAAAATTCTAAACATGATAGCCAGACGAATTTTATTTCTAGCGCTCTGCTGGATGACGAGCCTTGTTTCTCTCTTAAGAATTTGGCACTCGGCTTCAATGGCTTCAAATTTTTCGCGAACTTTTCTTTGTCCTTCCCGTATACTTCTTTGTTCAGCACCAATTTCTTGCATCTCCTCTCTCAGCTTCTGAAGTTTTGACTCCATTTCTTTGGCATTCCTCCTCTGCACACCATTATTAGTTCAATTAAATGTACTGTTCGTTAAAATGAATACTAATATATACCTCTTGAAGCAAACATGCATATACGTACCTTCATCTTCTTGAATCGGCGTTTCCTAATCAGAACGTTGCTAAGGTGATTCATGAAGAGCTGATTCTTTTCTCTAATACAGGGTTGAAGACTTCTTCGTTTCCTTGGATCCGATCCAAGTAGCATCCGATAAATATATAATGCTTCAACAGTGGAATATATGACGTGGGTCAACTTTATTTTAATCCAAGTACAATATGATTTTTCAATACGAAGAAATAGTATTAAAAAATATTTTATTATTATAAAATAATGAATTATTTTATTTTATTTTTAAATTAAAATTTTTTAAAAAATTTTCTTCGTTTCCTTGGATCCGATCCAAGTAGCAT